GGACAATATCTTTTTTGGTTAAAAAATAATGACTTTTTAAACACTCACCCCCCCAAATATCCCATTCTCTACACAAAAAAGATTGTGATGTTTTACAGAATATAACAAGAGCGTTGGCAATAATCCAGCATATCATCTCGTTGGCCGTTTAGCCCGATTCCTTCATCAAAATGTTTGCATCGGTGCTCTCTACAACATTTGTGAGTGCAATAACAATTTAACACTTTGCGGTCACGCAGCCAGCAGTACAAAGTACCCCATCTGGTCACACAGCCAGGAGACTGACTGCAACGGATCTCTCGGGCCTGGAACACAAATGCACCAGGTGACCGGAACAGATAATTCTAACAGGCGCATTATTGCATCAAGTGACAGCAAAGTTTTAAATACCTTGATTTCAAAGCAAAAACAGATTGTAAAAAAACTATTTTATAGACTCTACGAAAATGGTGGTGTTGTACCACATTTTTTGGCCCAAGAAAGAAACTTATTGATAACTTCTCAGCCAAAAGTCTGATCCCCATCAATCATATGACTATGTGAATATCAGCACACTCTCTTCTACGTCTGTACACATATGCCTACAAAAGCAGATTTAACTCCTATCAGCCAGAATTAAACATGGACCATCGTTCAGAGTCTGCATAAGTTTTTGTTTCACCTACAATTTGGGACCTAGATATACCTTAATCACAATGAAAAAAAAACAAAAAAACCCGTCAGCAACAGTGATATTGAGTGCAGAAAAAGCAGGTGTACAGTAGAGGAATTTCATCAGCACTCATGATTTGGAAAGTGACTCGGACTCCAGATTCCAAATGTTGCCACTCGAAAAAAAAGCCTTCACAGGTCAAATTCTCATGAAGAACTCAAGTGTTTTCAGGTCCAATTTTTACTCGACCAATACTATAAATAAACATGGATTTGAAGGACTGGACGGAAATGTGTATTTTCTAAAAGAAAACCTGCTGTGAAACAAGTTTTTGCAGTCACTTGACATCCCTCCAGTCATTATTTCCTTCCCAGCCATTTGAAATAAACAATAAAAAGGTCTATTTATTTGACGTTATGCAGTAGCGCGCACTGTAAAACCTTTACCAATTACCAAAACATAAACAACATAAACATAAAACGCAAGAGCAAAAAAAAACCACAACTAACAAAAACATCATGAACCACTCACAGAATACTTGGCACTGTGATCAGCTGAGCCCCTCCAAAGTCCTGAGGGTACTTGAACATCAGGAAGAAATACAAGTGGCCCACCACTATGCCAAACAACTCCATCATGCCCCTGAAAGGTTAAAAAACAAAGTGAAACTTAAGTGTGCAGGTTTAATGCCCCTAGCAACACCTACTGGGTTATTTAAAAGTGGGACCTCCAAATATAATGCCTGTCACCAACAGGACAAAGCCACAAGGATTGAGAGCCTTGAAAACTCTACAATACGACCTAAGTTAAAAAAAACCCACCCAGTCAGAGATTCAAACCAGAGCCATCTGCTCCGTAATTCAGCATGATACCAACTGAGCTAACGGAGCGGAGCGCCCCTGAAAGGTGGAGGGAAAAAATCAATGATTTTGGACAGAAAAAAACTCAACTTTAGATATAAGTATATGTGAAGCATCGTGGTGAAATTAGGCCTTCGTCAAAGTAATTAAACCAAAGAAATCAGCATTTTTTTGGCCGATGGGGAATTTTTTTCTAATTTTATTTTTTCCACTCAACACCTTTTATGTCCATTTAAAAACACATTTTTGAGTGTATTTTACTGAAAAACATTGATAAAAGGCACAACAAATGTAAATTTTAAGTTTTCAAGGACTCTCAAGCTTTGGAAATCACTAAACTTTGGCGGCCATTTTCTCACTAATTTTACCTCTGAAACCAGGCGACCCCTACCTCCTTCAATCACAAATATCTCGACCTTTATTCAAGATAAATGGGTATTTTTGTCGCTAAGTGCAAGACAAATGAACAAGCTATAAAATGATACTAGTAACTACATATGCTAAAAAATTTAAGAATGCCTGATTCCATCGCATCGTGACACATATTATTACAGCAGGCCAGTTTAACTGGTGTCTGACATCACTCAGTCGTTTACAGTCATTAAAACAATCTAAGCCACCAGCAAGTCCCTATTATACAAATCAGACAGTATATTTCTTCCATTGAGTTTGGTGTGCAAGTCTGTTTACAAGACCCTGGCCATTTCTTTTCCATTAAAAATCAAAGCATCATCAATTGTGAAGAACAAAAAAACATTTAACAAATTACCTTAGTTCATAAATGGAACTGAGAGTCATACATAAAAAGATGACATTACAGTATAGAGAGGGACAAAAATCGAGAGTGAAACAGAATACTTCAGGATGGCATTACAGAAAATGGCAAAAATCAAGAGTGAGACAGAGTACTTCAGGTACTGTTACTTTTGACATGACATGACACACACTTACCCGCTTCCGATAATCAAGTTGAAAGCAAAGAGGACCCAAGGTAAGTACATGGCCTGTGACAAAAAGACAAGAGAGCAATGATGAGAGATTCAGCAAACATGCAGTGAGAACTCCATTTGCCATCATCACTCATAGGGAAACCCTGCTTATCTACAACTCCGCTTCTCTTTTCTTTTTTTATGTGACAAAATTTAGATAATTTAGGAGGAGTGCTTCCAACCCTGCCCTACTTGCCATGGCCAACCCGAGCTGAGAGGGACCCAACATCCCAACAGAAAGACTGAGGTAGTCCATAAAATTTCTCTCCATTCATAAATTAAACTGGGGTCTCCTGCCTCTGACAGCAAAGCCCCTATCCGCTACACCACAGACGCTGGTTTGTATCTGTTCACAGAACAAACACACTCAAGCGTGTAGTTACAACCGGATACATCATCAACATGAGTCATCTCCGCCAACACCCTAAGGTCCCATATCTTTATTTCTGTCTGGCAACCACAATCTCGTTATTTGGCCAAACTGGTGTCCTCCAATACATACCACAGTTTTACTCTAAGTCTAAGAACAGTCAAGTCAAAATTGTCCAAATCAGTGAGTGTAATGACAACATTGGTGAAAAAAGCTGTTAACCCGTATAATCTTAATGGCTTCAGTCCTCTCTACCTCAACCATCTTCCTGCTTTATTCTTGTTTTATTTTACTTTCATATATCCTTCTCATGTATATAAACATAAATAGTTACATTTGTATGGCACATTTCCATTAGGAAAGTTCTCAATACATTTTACAATAATCTAGGAAACATATTTCTAAATTCCTCTTCTCCTCTCTTCCCAGTCTCCTCCTACAGTTTTTCTAATGTAACATTGTTCAAAACAGTAAGCAAATAAAATATGCCCAGGGGAAAAGATACGATTTTTAACTGTTTTTAACACATGTAAACCCTTCTCTTTTGTTTAATACCGGAATAAGTAAATTCATACAAAAGATGCCACAAGCATGATAGGAAACCAAGCAAAGACAAAGGGAAAAAAAGGGGAAAAAAGGGGAAAAAAGGTAAAAGAGACAAGCAAATAAAAGAGTTGTACTTTGAATCTTGTGCCGAACCAGAAGCTGACGATGGTGTCCTTGTTGAGCTGGCACCACACGTAGAGAACACTCAGCACTAGCGGGTCCATCAGAAGCTGAAAGACCCGTCAAACAATAAAAATAATAGTACATGGCATTTATATAGCATATTTCCATAATTTACAATGCTCAATGTGCTTTACAAGACATATAAAGATCCCAACAGACTAAAAAGACAACCTTGCACAAGAGAATTTCCCTTTTAAGACTCACTGAACCCTAGGGATCTAGGCCGTATTGTGCAGCCTAGACCAAAGGATTTATGATCATATTATGTGTCACAAAGTGGTGGAATCAGGCGCTCGTCAATTCTTGTGCATGGAGAGTTATTGGTATTATCTAAAAGCTTGTTCATTTATCATGCTTTTGATTTTAAAAAATACCCACCTATCTTGAGCAGAAGTGAAGATATTTGTGATATAAAGAGGTAAGTTCACTCGGTTTCAGCGGTAAAAATAGTGAGAAAATGGCCATCAAAGTTTGGTAACTTCAATAGCTAAAGAGTCCTTGAAAACTGAAAAATTACATATTTTGAGCTTTTAATCAATGTTTTTCAATATAATTCACATGGAAATGTGTTTTTATTTGGACATTAAAAGGTTGAACAAAAAAAAAAAAATTTGATTAAAATTGTGAAACTGGAGGGAAAATGTCTGTTTCTCCAATTTTGTTATTTTGACAAGCCCCTGATTTCACCATGATGCCTCACATATTATGGTTCTGATATGGGGGTTTTGATATGGCCGGGGTACTGATGTAGTTGTGGATCTGATATGGTCACTGGTCCGATGATACAAGATGGGTGTTTTGATGCTGTGGATGTTGAAGTCGAAGAAATCCCTAAGTAATGGAATTTCGGCTCAGCGAGTTGAACTCGATAATAGCTTCTGCTTCAATTGTTTCCCTATTTTGTCACATGTTAGTTAGAAAAAATAGATAATATAGAACCCTAAATCACACTGATACATGATTTTATCATTAGACAAACCCAAAAATTAATAGCTGAACTCACACAAATGCACAGCCATTAGTCTTTAATGTAACAATTGAAAATCACAGAAGCGAAATACAACGTTCAAAGTTTTCTTCAGCACCAGTTCAACTATTACTTTTCAGTCAGCTAAGTAAGTCATACTTTCAAAATTTTAAGCATTTAGAAAGAAAAAACTAATTGATAAAAAAATTGAATCTACAAAGGCCAATACTCACAGCAAGTTCTGCTCCAAATCCGATAATCTTTCATTGTGGTTAAGGTCAAGGTGATGCATAAAAAATCAGTGAATCATATAATTCATTAACAATGTGTTTCAACATTCTCAAGCAAAAATATATATTTCTGAAGTCTTTTCAATACACATACACGCCATATAACAGGCTTGCTAACTTTTCTCAAAAACCTAATCAGTGACACCCATTAGAGACGGGCGGGAAGCGCTTTTTCCTTCCCAAGCGAGAAGACCGAGAAGCTGACCTACTTCTCGCCGGGACCGGCCCCGGGAACGAGAAATACTTTCAGTCTCGTGTCTCGAGCAATGCTTCTCGTCTCGTGACCAATTTCTCTTCTCGCGAGAAGGCCGGCCGTGGCCGAGATTTTTCTTCTCACCCCACAGAATGAGCAACTCGTTTAGCGGGAAGGCCGGTCGTTGCGGGGATCTAAACTATGAAACTAGGCTTGCCCTGGTGCGCAGGCGGTGAAGGAAGGTAGGGAGACGACCTAGGCCTAGGCCCTGATCAACTCCCCACTCGCCTCGTCTCGCCACCCTCTCCCCTCCCTTTCAGTTTCACACACAGGATGGCACGGTGATGGGTGGCACTGTCTGTGTTGTCATTTCTCGCCTCTCACTCTCTCACTCTCGTTACTGTTACTCGTTATGTCAAGCCAACGAGCAGTATCACGTCTCGGTACCGAGCAGTTGTTTAGTGCCCGGGCAGTGACGGGAAGGGCGTTTCTCGCGAGAAACGAGTACTCGGCTCGTCTCGTGCCCGCCCCTAACACCCATCATTATAAATAACAATTACATTCGTATTTATATGGCCTATATCCATGCTCTATAATCATGTAACAACTAATAAAATTAAATCAAGTGGGACTGGCTTTGGTGTAGTGCATGTAAAGTCCTTTCAAATTCCAGATCGCTGAACCCAGGACTGTCCCAGCAAATTCGTGAGAGTTGGCAAACCTATGATAGTGTATATATAAAACCCCGCCACAGAATAGATGCCAAAAAATGGTCCCAAAAAAATAAACAAGCACAAGTCACTTTGTCCTTCAAGGATACAACAAGACAGAACCAGTTGAAGAGCAGCATGAACAAGTAATCAGCAGGAGAACCAGCGTATGTCTCTGTGGAGAGAAACAGAAGCAAGCAATGAGCAATGACAGCAAGTGGCATACAGTTTTTGAAAAGAAGAAAAAAAAATCATATATCTTTAAACAATGTACACAGTGGAATCAGCTGAATCAAACACAGTTAATTCGATCCAAAAACAGCAGTAAACAGGAAAAGAATAAATTCTCCGATCTTTTTTTTTTCAATCTAGATTAACATAAACAACTTCTCTTAACTGAAAGCAAGCTAAACCAAAGAAAATCCAGGGGCGGTCCTCCTGATTTCAGAAGGGGGGGGGGGGGGGGGGATTTTTTTTTCTTATCATCTTCAAGAACATGAAATATATATTTCAGGTAGTGTTCTTTTTACTTATCATAGTTAGTATCACCCCCCCCCCCCCCCCCCCCCCCCCAATTGTAAGGACCGTTGAAAATGACATTATAAATACAGAACAAAAGAAAAACCCCGGGGCGGTGCTACTGACTGAAGTGTCTTTAGGCCATTCCAAAGGACATTAACATCTTGATTTCTTATGCACAGTAAAATTGTAATTGTAATTAGGCTGATTCATCAATGACATGCTCATAACTGTGCCTGACCTGCAACAGGGAACTGCTGCTTTTTCTTTCTTAATCCTTACTATCGTCATTTCTTCTCTACTTCATTTGTACGTTTGTCACACTCTTGTGACCCGCTATTTCCGGGGTGCCTTGATAGTCGAAGCAGACTTTGTGCTGTTGAAGCTAGAGAGGTGAGCAGAGTAAGTCTGATTCCCTGTAAGGACTTCTCTGTTGACATCCACCCCTTGGTGCTAATATGACCTTATGTAGTTGCGAGCGCCATAAAACTTCTACTAAAACTAAACTAAGACAAAAGAAGATACTCAATTAGTGCCGCACACAACTGTACAATATGTATATATACATGTTGTGTGTGTGTGAGCATGTATGTGCCTGCATATTGCTTGTGTGTACTCCATAGATATAATACAGTCAAAACTAACTAAAATGGCCACATCTTATGGAGCAGAAAAGTGGCCATCTTAGATAGATGTCTTACTGTCTTACAGCGCCATAACACAATAAAGTAAAAAAAATCCCCATGGGAGGAAATAGGAAGTGGCCATTAGTACAGGTGACTGTCTTATATAATATAGATGGCCTTTAGAGCAGGTTCGACAGCAAATGAAAAGTTGAATCATGAGTAAGCCTGAAGTAACACAACACTGATCAGTGATTCTAATAATCAGGGGATTACAGTTTCATCAAGGCACTGCGCAAAACTACTCCACAGTAGATTGGTTCTAGATGTATTCTTATTTTATGCAAAGTATCTCCTATGTCAAAACTTTGCTGCTGAACACCTGACAAATCTCAGTTTGACGTTTCAAATGCAAAAAATCAATTCAGCTGTCGCATACTTGCAGCTGGGGGTAAAAAAACCTTTAAACTCTTTCAAGTGCTTTGATGTTTGAGTAGAATCCAACATAACAGTTCCACTTTTGTGTATGTTATGAAAGTGTTGGAACCGGAGAAAAGGGTCAACTTAGACTGGAACAGCGAAATCCTTCGGACCTCTCCAGAAGAGACGAAGTCATTTTTACTCGATTGCGCATCGGACACACGGCCCTGACCCACAAATACCTCCTACAGGGACATGAGACGCCGTTCTGTGTCGGATGCGACACAGATTTTACACATCTTAACCGAATGTTTGGACTTTGGAGAGATCTGAAGGAAATATTATAAATGCAAGAAAATTTTTCCGTCGCTGGTCCCAGCAGAATTTTGAACTTTATGAAGGCCATTGGCCTTTATGGCAAATTATAAAATGGAAATTGAAGTATTAAAAATGTTTATGTTATCTAGGAAAATAGTTTTAGATCGAAAATATATACATGTTTACACTGATTTTTAAACACTTTAACATTTTAAGATCTAACTACTGACCCGAGCCAGCCGTACAGTAAACTGTTGTGAACAAAACTAACTTGTGTTTCGCACGCTCATATGACCTTATGCAGTTGCGAGCGCCGTAAAACCCCGTACTAAACAAACAACTTAGACAAAAACAAACTTATGGGACTTCAAAATAAAAAGTGGAGCCGACTCTATCTAAGCATGCCAAAAAAGATTTTTTTCCTAAATCTGACAATTTCATTACATTTTGACGTAGCAAATGCTGTACTTACCTGTTTCAAGACGTGTAGAATATGAATATAAAAAGTAGAGATTCATTAAATAGTGAAAGCCTCTGGGCCCTGATATTGGATAATACAGAGCAGCAGTCATGGGTCGCCATATCTGAAGAACAAAAAAAATAAAATAAATAAATAAAACAAATGAACTGAGGCTAGGCATAAAAAGAATAGGGAAGAGAGGTCACACAAGGTAGTAGAAAAAATTCAAAATGCGGCAAACAAAGACAAGATAGTCATAATTCAGAGACGACAGTAGGCCTGTGGACTTCTTAGGCAGAAACACAAGAGTTCATTCAGGTTACGTTTTTCGTGCTATCGTCTCTGGCAGCAAAAACTTGTCCATTTAACAAACGCTCGAATGAAAAGTATGTAGACTAAGTAATGTCAAAGCAGCTACTACAGTAGTCTCCGCCTAAGATCCCGGTGCTCGGGAGCAAGGAAATGCGGGATCTTAGGGAATCGGGATCTTAACCGACGAACCCAGGGAAGAATCTATCTATGGTGACCCATAATAAGGCTCACAATCGGTAAAACGGTCTCCCTCCACTCTAAAATGAACTGACCCCTGGGTGGGTATATGACATATATGGCGAGCAAAGAGTGGTTAACTTTGATGACCTATCATAGTGCATAGTGGCATGAGGCATGCCATTTTCACTTATTTTCCTATTATGAGTCTCAAGATCTACGCTTATCCAGTTGCCCCTCCCCTTTACCTGTCGAAAACTTAAAGCTTTCCATATCTGACCGAGTCCCTCGCCTTTGTTGTTATGCACCACTACAATGTGACCACATCAATTAAAATTGAGTCTGCCTCGCAAATTCGGGAGTAGAGACAACTGCTGCAATATGGTCAGGGAAGAATTCACGGTTCTATGTAATCCCGCCTGGAGCGAAGTGATGTAAAAGTTATGGGGAGAGCTCAGATGTGAGTGCGATGTTTGGGGAAAATAAACGCATCGGTCAGACTCGCAACAGTAAGGTCGTGGGTTCGAATCACGTCAAGGGCTCGGCGTTGTGTCCTTGGGAAAACTCACTTTACACGAATTTTCCTCACTTCACCCAGGTGGGAATGGGTACCCGGCTATAGACAGCGAAAGATCTTGTCAGTTTGTTAGTGTTTGAGCGCTCTTTTTCTCCCCTATCCTTTATGCTGTGAGCGATCATTGATTCTCAATTCATGCTGTCCTTCTTGTCTGTCTGTGTTTCTGTCCGTCTGTCTATCAGTTTGTCTCCAGTACATGGTGATCGGATCCAGGCACATCGCGTTAAACTTCCGTGTTCTTTTGCGTCTGATTCTGTATGTGAATGGTTCATGGTTTTGCATTTCCGTTTGCTTATTATATAAATGCTCGTGCTTTCTATCCCGACCGACGAAAACCCCCCAAAAAACTCCACACCCCTAAAAGTCAGGAAACTAAGTTACGATTTTTTTTTCAGATAGGTAAAATTAATGTCGTTTCCGCTTAGCTGTTTGAATATCCTCGCAGCCCCCCTACCATGCACTCACACTCTCACATAAACACGGACGTGCGTTCACACACACACACACACACACACACACACACACACGCACACAAATACACACACACACACACACACACACTCTCACACACACACACACACACTCACACACGCACAAGCACTCGCGTTCACACACACTCTCTCTCTCTCTCTCTCTCACACACACACACACACACACACACACACACACACACACACACACACACACACGCACACACACGGCTTTGTGTGAATCGAAGCCAAACTACGTCCTTGAAGTTGAAGTCCCTTTTTGTGAATCGTATCCCCGGGCCATCCTCATA